AGTGCTGAATCAGAGTTGCAAGGATGGGGAGTTGTTTTTGGTACAAAATTTCAAGTCGTCCTTTCAGTGGAATGGAGTACACTGGACTAAACTCTGAAGTGACTTACTCCCACTGCAACCCTATTGACTTCAATGGGGCTGCGTTAGGAAGAAATTTGGTCCTCTGTGTTGATCTAATAGCATTTTGGAGGCCTCAGTACAGCTTTATTATTTCACATTTAGTCTGCGTGTTTAATTTATTTGAGCCTTAAAAAATGTTGCTTATTGTATAATTACTTACTCGGCCTGTGGAAAACAAAACCACAGACTAGCCAAACAGCAGTATAAGGTGACTAGAGCTATGCAAAATTCTTGCATCAAGCTTCCAACCCACTCTGCCTAAGCCTGGGCGCATTGTTGAATCTCAGCCCATGCTCACAAAGCTTCATGAGCCTTTGGGGGCTCCCTAGCAACTCTGCACTAGGCAGACTATGGGGGTTCCCACCATGCTGTTGGGACCAGGAGTGCACTTCCTGTTTCCACTCCCACCTCACCCAGTCCTTCGTAACAGCTTCTAGCCTTCTACCTGTGGGTCACTGGAGATACATGGGGGAGAGAGCCGAGGGGACCATTTGCCACTGGAGACGCAGGATAGAAAGACAGGCCATTGCCTAGTGACTGTTTTTCCCCACCTCTTTTCTAACGGGGGGAGGGATAGCTCAGTGGTTTGAGCATTGGTCTGCTAATCCCAGGGTTGTGAGTTCAATCCTTGAGGGGGCCACTTAGGGATCTGGGGCAAAATCAGTACTTGGTCCTGCTAGTGAAGGCAGGGGGCTGGACTCGATGACCTTTCAAGGTCCCTTCCACTTCTAGGAGATGGGATATCTCCATTAATTTATTTATTTATTTAATGAGTGGGGGATTAGGAAGATGAGAGAGGCCTGTTTTAGGCTAAGGGGTTTCCTTAGAGATTTGAGTTTATTAAGCTTCCAGGCCTATCTGCAGCCTTAGTTCACTTCCACCCCATTGAGCTTCTTCAGAAGCCAATTTCTGCTGGTCTAAAATGACCCATTAAAAAGGAAGGGTAACTAAAATAGTACAGTTATGCAAAACTTGATAGTTCGTTTACCAGTTACTTATTTCAGTCTTCAACATGAAACATGAATAGATTAGTTCAATTACTCACTGATTTATCTTTGAGCTGCCTACATGCATGCATTTTTATATATGAAGTGTACATTTCAGACCAGATGTTTTTCTCCTTCTGCTAAAGATGCTTTTTTCTGGGCATTTGCAATGGTGTCACTAATTTGCAATGACTTAAGCAAACTGCCTTTGTTAGCTTTTTGCCATAGCATTTAAATAAAGAAAACAAATTATTTCCCATTTCACTCAGCTGAAGGAGTTAAGATTTTATTATAAGTGAAAAGCACGACTATTTACACTCCTCCTCCCGCCCTCCCCCGTATGATGGCATAGTAATTGTGCAGGCAATTGCAGCTATGAAAAGACTGTATTAAGAAACAGGATGGTGGTGGTTTGCTGTAAGAACTAATTTTCCTGTTGACTTTTTTTTTTTTTAAACGGAAGTTGAAGAACAAAGCTGCATATGTCTTAATTAGCTCTTCTGTTAGATTTCAGATTTGAAATATATACAAAAAGATTGGGAATGGATACTATTTTGTTCACATTTTTATTTGATGATCATAAGAGTTGGAAATATGCAAAACTCTGAAAAGAAATGTTCAGAATTTACTGGAATACTGTCAATTAACACCTACTTCTGTCTGATAATATTTCAACTACTAATATTAGAGGTAACTCCTACCACTACAAAGATCAAAGAGAATTTCTATCACTTTGGTTTTGTGTATTTGACAGCGCTGTGTGTAGACTCAGTAAGTTTAGTCAGCTTCTCCTTTCATTTTTATTGGTGTCTCACAGTGCAACAGGAGAGAAACTTTTTTTAAAGGAGACTATAAACCTACAAACATTGGCAGAGACACTCCAAGGCAGAAGTAGTGCTTGAAACCATTCTGAACTCCATTTTCTCCCCCCAGTTAGTTAGATTTCAAACTGGTGGTGTATTCCCCCCTTTCTTCCCCCATTGAAGACTTTAGGCAGTATTCATTGAGGTCCCAATTCAGGAAAGCACTTAAGCACATTGAGACTAAAGCACATATTTAAAGTTAAGCACATTCTTAAGTGCTTTCTTAAACTGCAGCCTATGTAAATTCCTTCTCTCCTCTCCTCTGTGTAGCATGGATTTTGTTTTAAGTGTATTTGCAATGCTTTTTATGACTTTACAAATAACTAGGAAAATAAGTTGTTTTTCCTCTTTGAAACACTCCAGCATCTTAAGATATAAATCTATGTCTAACCAAGATTTTTTTCTAACACACCTAAACCTTCTTGTCATTTCTGAGATATTACAGAATTGCGAAGTGGTGAGTCAAATCCAGATGGTTACTAACAGCTCAGATAATTGAACTTCCCTTTTCTAGCATTAATCGGATTTTAATCAGTGTATTCTATCTAGCATGAGGTAGAGCTGAAGTACAATTTGTTTTATGCAAATCTTGTTTTGAGACTTCAAAAATAAGTGTGGAAAAAATAAGATTTGTGTATTCCTCTGAATAACTACTATGGATAATATTACTGTCAGCATGGAACCCTGGAGGATATCTTTTATTCCCACTCCCATTACTTTTTACCTGTTCTGCATAGGTATGATTTGAGTGACTGATAGTGGCACCTTCTACTAATGCCTGTTTATTTGAACTGGCAAAAGAAAAACATATGGAAAAAGGAGGCATCTTAAATAACAAACTAGCTTCCTATTCCAGAAGCCACTTCCTTTTAAATGTGTGCTTGTTCCCTCCACTTACCTATGGCAACGAGGCAGGCAAGTATATAATGCTCCCCTCTGTGATGATCTCTTCTTTCCTGCTGCTGCAGCTTGTGGCCCAGGAATTTGATCTTTCCTTCATTCAGCAGCAGTCAGCATGCTGACCCATCCTGCTTCTCCCTCCTTGTCTGGCCATCCCTCAAACACTTTGTGTCAACTACTCCTGAGCTTGGGGGGAGGGATAGCTCAGTGGTTTGAGCATTGGCCTGCTAAACCCAGGGTTGTGAGTTCAATCCTTGAGGGGGCCATTTAGGGAACTGGGGTAAAAATCTGTCTGGGGATTGGTCCTGCTTTGAGCAGGGGGTTGGACTAGATGACTCCCGAGGTCCCTTCCAACCCTGATATTCTATTATTCTAGTGCTGCTTGCCAATGGAGCCTCTTCAGCAGCCAAAACACGAAGGGTATAGCTACACTTACAGTGGCGTGTCGAGTACAGACACTGCACATCCAGCTAGCACGGGTACAAATATCAGCATTGATGGTGAGGCTCTGCTAAGACCAGTAGAGGGCCCTCCATACTGGAGCCCCCAGGGTGTGTACCCTGCACAGGCTCTCTACACACCCAAGCAGTGCCACCCACCATTACACTGCCCACTGCCTGCCTGCTGTTAGAGCTCTGGCAGGAGGGAGGAAGCTCCTGGAGCCTTTCACTGCAGCATGTAGCTACACATGTAATGCCTATACTCCGCACACCACCGTAAGTGTAGACATAGCCTAGGTTGGCTGCAGAGGAGTAGTCTGTTCTCTCTCAGTTGGGCAATTTTGTGCAAGTCCCCCCCCCCCCCCCCCCCCCCCCGCCAATGTTTGTTCATGAAAGTGTCATTTGTGCCTGTCGCTGATAACTTGCTGTCACAATATTTGGTAGGAAATCTTTCTCTCTTCTACACCCCCTCAGTCTGTTCCTATACCAAGCTGAGATTTTTCTTTTGAAAGTACGTTTTACTGTGAGGCCTGGGTTTCTGCTACAATAATAATGTGCATGTATATAGTGCTTTTCATCCTTGTAGATCCCCAAACGCTTTGGGCTAGACTGCCCCTTACCCGGCCATGTGCGGAAGTAAGGCCTCTCTGCTGCATGGCCAGGTAAGGGCAGCCGACTGCGGCTCCAGCTGAGTTGGGGGGAGAGTGGGCTGCTTGCCTTCCTTGGTGAGGAAGCAGGTGGGCAGTGAGAGGAGCCGTGGCTGGGCATATTACTGGCCTGCCAGAGTAGCTGGCCAGGCACACCGCAGGGAGTAAGGTGCTCCCAAAGAGAAATGAAGTAACAAACTTCCTGCCCCCCCCCCCCAAGTTTAAATCGCTCTTAGGGGACTGCAGCCTTTTTAAAGTACCAATTTAAAAGTTCTAATAGCCAAGGGTGTTTTTTCAAAGTGATGCTTGGAGATTTAGCTGTGTGACAATCACTGAGACTTATCCTGCAGTCCTTGCTCAGGAGAAAATCTCATGGGATTCGATGGGAATTTTGACTGAGCATTATTTATTAGTGCACATTCTCAAGTGCCTGCCACCAGAGAGAGTAGTGCGTAATAAAGCCCATCAACAGAAGATGCACAACTGAATCCCCACACACTGCGTATAGATTGTGGTGGTATTGCCTGGTAACCAGACATCTTTACCTGATCTCACCTGGAATTCTCATAGTTGCAAGCCACTGAAATCTTGTGTGGACACCCAGTTTATGTATGTCACTACTGCTAATACTTGTGGCTGTTTCTTGTCAACGTTTAAAATACAAAATATTCTCCCAACACTGATTTATGCTCAGGCCTGACCTAAACGTGAATAACGTAGCTGAAGTCAACGTACTTAGATCGACTTACCGCAGTGTCTTCACTACGGTGTGTCGACTGCTGCCGCTCCCGCATCGACTCCACCTGCGCCTCTCACCGAGCTGGAGTACAGGAGTCGACAGAAGAGCACTTGGGGATCGATTTAGACGCGATAAATCGATCCCCGCTGGATCGATCGCTGCCCGCCAATCCGTAGTGAAGACATACCCTCAGAAAATGTAGCTGCTAAATCTGTTAGCTAAGCATGTGGTTCAGCAGTCAGGATAAAGTGTGAATACAAAGGTTATAGATTTGTTACTTTACTGTATCTCATTGTTGTTGACAGATTTCATAGCAATATCGGGAAAAGTTCCACTGTAGACCATGCCTGTCCCTCCCCCTCCAGCTCCTCCGCCTCCCCCAACTCTTGCACTGGTAAGTTTCAACTTAGAAGTAGTCACATGAAATATAAATGTAAAATATTTGTTGTTACAATGTACTATGTGGGTCATATTTAAAGGGGCAAATTCTGGACCTTTGTGCAAATCATGTATTTGGGACTCGGGTAAGGGATTCCCTCCGTGGTTGGAGAATGTACTCCTTGCAGGAATACAAGCAGTGCTGCTACTCCTAAACCTAATGCAACAAGTTCAGTCTGAATGAGTAACGTGTTTTCCTTCAGTCATGAGAGACTTTAGAAACGTCTGGAAAGATTGGAACTTGTATTTTGTATAACAATACGAAACATTTCCTCTCTTTTTCTAAACTTGTCATTACCCTTTCTGAATGCTGAGGTAATGCAAAAATTACACTCTGAAAAGACAAAGCAGATGCAACTGAGGTTGGGAATCTTAAAACCTTGACTGGAAATCAGAAAGGCCTGTGATGTTTGAAGTGGAGGATCAACATTTTCCAGATAGATTTAATGAAGGAAAACAGTAGCCAAATGCTTGGTTTCCTTCCGAGGCATCCAGTGTTTGGATATTATGTACTTCAGTGTGATTTTTTTTTGTTTGTTTGTTTTTTTTCCCCCAAGAACTTCAATCTTTCTGTGCAAATCAGCACTGTGTATGGTTTGCTGTCGTTCATTCTCCAAAATAGCAACCTTTTTTTTTTTTCAGTTCCATCTTTTCAATTATATTTTTAAATTGAGATTTCTAAAAAAGACACCTCCATCTTGGCTTCATATGTATCAAATATGGACTCTGAATGCTGGGTGGAAGAGAGGACTGTTTCAAAATACACCATTGGTGTGGCAATGGATCCTGAGTATTGAAACAGAAGTAGATTTTTGGGGACCAGAATCTTTGTTTGCAAGGCTAACTGCTTTTAGTGCCACATTTGCAAGAGGGAGACTGTGACACGAAACTCATTTTGACTGCTTTTGGGTTAAAAATGGAGGTATCCATTACACCCCTTACTTAAGCAGGATGCTGCAGTTTTATTTTATATCTTTATTTGTTTCATTTTGCAGGCAAATACCGAAAAGCCTTCCTTAAACAGGTCTGAACAAGCAGGGCGAAATGCTCTCTTATCTGATATTAGCAAAGGAAAAAGGCTAAAAAAGGCTGTTACTAATGATAGAAGTGCCCCTGTCCTAGACCGTAAGTACAATTCTGTTTATTTTAATGTAGTTAATGAATGATGAGTTAATAATATGCAAAATTAGAATAGTTTTTATAATCAGCAGGTGAAGAAATGCAGGATGGTCAGGCAAAATAAATTATTGTAAATGGTCAAATAATTTGCTATATTAGTGCATGTTTTAAATCACTTGAGATATCCATTACTGTTTATAAAATGTGTATAGTAATTTGTGTGCTAACTAGTAAGTCTATAGCAAAATGTAATTGGCACAACTAAGTGTAATGGTGGGGAATGGGGAAAAACAGTGTATTGCTTTCGAGTTTTGCAGTACATGCTTATTTTAAAGGCAGACTGCAGTGATTTTTTTGTTAAGTACTTCTTTAGATGGCTATAAAAATATTCTTAATTTCAAAGCAGTATATAAAAATATCTGCACCCACCACTGATATGAAATGGTCGGCTGTTTTAATAATTACAAAAGGAACTGCATCTTGATGTCAGGACAGGAGGATGAGAGCTGCTGGTATATGCCCAGGATGGGTGGTAGAAGCAACCTGCATTCCACAGGTACCACTGGCCCTTTGGCTCTGACTAGGTGTCCATATTATATGGATGGAAACACTAAAGGAAAGAGAAGATCCAGAAAAGTATTTAATTTGCTTAAAAATATCTGGTAAAAGTATGTACTGTTCCCTGAGTCTCTGATCTTCCTGTTACAATGCTTGAAAATCTAATCAGTCTGATACCATTTAATATGAAACAGTTACATATTTATATACAAGTTATTTTAAAAATATCTCCTGAATTATTTAGTAATGTTCTACTTTTGATCAAGTGCATGGAAACGCTCTTTAAATCTCATTACAGTCTTTCTGTAATGCACTAAAAGTCTCTGCACAACAAGGCAAAAGTATGTGCAGCGTTGAGATAGTGCCCGGGTTGAGTCCTTTATTTATTAATTGACCCCAGTATCTCTAAGCAAAATCTTAGCCAAAGCTCTGAACCTCTGCTACACCTGGGTGGTGTCACTCTGGTGTGTGCGGTCGCACCATGCTGGGGTGACTCCTCTAGAGTTACCTAGCTAGACATTTATGTTCTATGCATGCAGAGGTGCTAACAGGCCACTTCACCTTGAATAAATATGTGCTAACAATATGTGTTAGCATCTGTTCCACCTTGTATTTAGTTGTGATGCTCTGAGTACCTGTCCCAGATCTGAAGAAAAGCTCTGTGTAGCTTGAAAGCTTGTCTCTCACCAACAGAAGTTGGTCCAATAAAAGCTTCTTCCAATTACTTCTTTCCAGTCTGGGGACAGAAATGCTGTGTGGCTCAACCTGCCAGATAGTGTTCTGTAGCAACTCAGTTGCATGACAGTCTACCTGTGCTGGAGGAGGCTCTCCATCCAGTTGAGCTGCTACAGTGCATCAGAACTCCACTTGGCAGATGCAGAGGAGACTGGAAAAGCACCATTCCTAAGAACTCTGGGAAGGTAGGAGAGAAACAGGAAAGAGGATCAAGAAAATAAAAGCCCATCCCTTTAGTAGGTCGTGGGGCCGCTGTCTGGTGACAGAAGGCATTTCACAGCCAGATTAGCTGACGGAAAGCACATTGACAGGCACTCAATCCAGACTTCCACGTAGAAGGGTGTAGAGAAATACAGCCTGGTCTAGCCCAGCATGTTTTAACCCTGGATTTTAATGGGAAGATGACTGAAGAACACCAAAGCACTGAAAGGAATGAGATTTCTTAAAAGTGAACCAGAAAAAACAAGCAAAGTAGATCTAGGGCTGCATTCAGCGAGGTGCCTAATCTGAGGCATGTGGGTATTCCCATTGAAAGCTAGGCACATGTTTCACTACTCTGCTGAATTGGAGCTATCATGGCAAGGCAATCAATGGGGATTAAAGGTAGATTAAATAGTAACGTTAAAGATGATGGGGTCTATTTTCTTGTTTGCATGAGTTAATAAACGATGAAAGACTAAAGTCTCATAGCAGGAACTCTCCAGAGGTTTACACCCTAAGCGAGTCAGAGCTGAATTTGGCCCAGTGTGCCTAACAAAGGGGAAGGGTGCAATTGAGCATTTCCCCATAAATACATCTTTTCTCTTTAAGGGAGAGATTACTGAATAGTGCATCTCATCCGCAGACCTGAAACCCCTTTACAAAGGATGGAAAATACCATTCTCCCCTTTTTAAAGAAGTGTGGAAACTGAGGTGCAGAGAAATGACTTGCTCAAGTTCACATGGTATCTGTGACCGAGCAGGGAACAGAACCTAGGTCTCCTGAGTCCCTATCCTGTGCCCTGCTCATTGCACTGTGCTGCTCTAAAGCAGTCCCTTGCCTTTGTTTAGAACCAGGGAAATACTTTCACGTGCCATTTCAGTTACGGTGTCAATATTTGTCATGGTCAGAGTAGAAAGAAGTATTTTTATATTATGACCATTTCTACCGATTGGAAAAACAAGCTAAAATCCATTCCTAGGCCCTCCCAAAACTATCTTTAAAAACAACTCACTGATCTTTTGGGGGGCTTTGTTCAATATGTATTTGTGGTAGCAACCCCATTGGTGACTGAGGTTTGTGCACATTCTAAGCCTCCAAATTGGTCAGACCACCACCAGCAGGACAGCTCTTCCATCTATAACCAAGCCTATAAATCTGGGGAAGGTGGAGAAGGATTAGGGACCAACGGCATGGGAAAAAATGGAAGCCCAACATGAAAGTGTGGCTGAATGGAATTATCATCGCCCCAACCTATTGTAGTCCCAACTTCTGCTCTGTGCCTGCTTCATAATCCTGTAGTCCAAGACAGCGACAAGAAGAAGGAGAGGATATGAAAAATACTGGCTATGTTTTAAAATTCCTGATTTTTGTTTCAACAGAACCCAAAGGATCTGGTGGTGGTGGCGGCGGTGGTGGAGGAAGTGGCGGAGGAGGAGGTGGTGGTGGCGGTGGTGGCTATGGCGGAGGTGGCCCACCTGGCTTAGGAGGCCTGTTTCAATCAGGAATGCCAAAGCTCAGATCTGCAGCAAATCGAGATACAGGTAAGGAGGATTTCCCAGATCTGTAAATTCAGTCAAGAATATTAAAAGCTTTCTAATGATAAATTTACAAAAACATTCATACAAGAGTAATAAAATAATGCAAGAGTTCTTTGGCTCAGGGAATGCTTCCAAACATATGTAAACAAAATACAACTAAAATATCATTAAGGGGTTAACTTTAAACTCTTGCACCCAGTAAACTCTGAAGAAAACCAGCATTCACTCTTGTGCCTCAGTATTTCAATCTCTATAGCAGGTACGGTCATCCCTTGAGTAACTAGGTACAAGGAAGGGAGTTAAAAAGAAATGCAGTTTCAGACTTAAATTTGGCTTTGTGTGTTTCATTCTTAGTGCTATGTTATATAGGGATATTTGGGGGAGAGAAGTTAAATTCCTTCCTCCCCCCCCACCCCTTCCTGAAGGTATTACTGATAAATAAAAATCTCAGGGATTGAGACCTCCCCTGTGGTGTACGGTAATAAGGGCCAGATCCAGTCCATTGCTCTGTGTGTGCGCACCCTCAAAGTGTAGCATCAAGAGGATTCCAAGCTAGAACTCCCTTAAGCCCTAGGGAAACTGGCCTCCTCTTAAACTGGAGAGACCATTTCAACCCCAAGGGGGCATAATTTACCTGTTAAGGTATGTGGCAAACATCCCATCTGGCTGCTATGCAAGCTATCATCAGCAGCATGCATTAGCTGGGCATACACACTTTTTTGCATGTCACAGGTTTTCAAAGGAGCTGCCCCGTGGAACAAAGCAGATTCTGTGGCGGGCAAGACTTATAAAATTGTGGATTTGCCACTTGTCGAGGAAGGTTGGGCCCTAGTGATTATTGACATGAGAGGATGTAATGGCTCCATCTAAATGTGTACTTAGGATGCTATTAATGGCCTATGCTCATTACAGATCTAACTTAATCTTTCAGCACATTTTGACGCAACACAAACTTTCAGAGGTGGTTTTATCTATGTTAGTCTGTGCTGGGAACTCTTCTTAATCCAAAGGTTCCCAGCATAATAGACCAGTGTTTCTTCAATTGCAAAACTGCCTCTTCCAGAGAAACACAAGCAAATCCATAAAAAATGGATATTGGAAGAGGGAAGAAATGGGAGAGGGGTTTTTTTTCTGTATTACTTTCAAGTCCTTTTCCTTTTGCTGAATTCTAGCAATCAAATATTGATTGACAGTTAAGATGCTTCTGCTCACATGTTGAAAACCCTAAATCATTGTTCTTCACAGTTTTTCCAAGGAGAGTTTCTTCCCTCCATGCTGTTAATGTTTGCATCAGGGAAGCCTGAAAATAAATCATATTATATCATTAGCAATGGTCCATAATCGCTCTAGTCCAATAGTTCTCAACCAGGGGTATGTGTACCCCTGGGGTATGCAGAGGTCTTCCGGGGGTACATCAACTAATCTAGATTTTGCCTAGTTTTACAACAGGCTACATAAAAAGCACTAGTGAAGTCAATACAAACTAAAATTTAATACAGATAATGTCTTGTTTATACTGCTCTATGTACTTACTTTTCAGTATATAGTATAATATTTATATTTCAGTTGATTTATTTTATAATTATACGGTAAAATATGAGAAAGTAAGCAATTTTTCAGTAATAGTGTGCTATGACACTTTTTTGTATTTTTGTCTGATTTTGTAAACAAGTAGTTTTTTAAGTGAGGTGCAACTTGGGGGTACGCAAGACAAATCAGACTCCTGAAAGGGGTACAGTAGTTTGGAAAGGATGAGAGCCACTGATCTAGTCTATCATAAGTATCCTTTGTATGCCGTCCTGCTGTGATAGAACATAATGGCTACTTTGGAGCTGTTGCTACAAATGCTTTTAAATTACCTATTGAGTAGTCTTGTGGGGACAAATCCTGAAGACTTCAGTCAGTCCTTACATCCAATGCAAAACTCCCAGTGCATTCAAGTAAAGACTTGACAATTTGGCCCATTCTCTCAGTGTGTTTTACCTTCTCTTGCCTATTGCCCAGCCCTTTACCCTGATGTGAGTAGTATTTACTTCTGTTTCCAGATTCTGGAGGAAACAGACCTCCCATGCTGCCACCAGGAGCAAGAACAACATCTGCCAAGCCTTTTTCACCTCCAGGTGCCACAGGGAGATTTCCAGGGCCTTCTTTGGGGCAAAGAAGTACCCCTCCTGAACCACAGAGAAACCGAATGCCACCTCCGAGACCTGATTTTGGTTCCAAACCAGATACAGGACCTCCTCCAGTGCCAAATACTCCAAGACCCATTCCATCAGGTTTACACAACAGAGTATCCCCTCCTGTGCCAGGAGCAAACAGGCAAACCAGCACAGGGCCTATCCCTCCATCTTTCCCAGGAAACAGAAATACAGGATTCGGAGGATCTATTCGCCAGTCGACTCCAAGTTCCTCACCTTCTTTCTCTAACAGACCTCCCCTTCCTCCTGCACCTGGCAAGTCAACAGATGACAAGCCGCCGCCACCACCACCTCCAACAGGAAACAGGGCATCCGTCAACCGGGAACCTTCCTTTCCACCTCCACCACCTCAAAACAGTAAACCTCCCGTTCCTTCCACACCTCGGCCACCCGCTGTCTCACAGGCTCCACCCCTGCCTCCAGGCAGACCAGGCTTACCTCCAGTTCCACCCATTTCCAGTGGAAATGATGACATGCCACGTCTTCCACAAAGGAATCTCTCTCTAGGTTCTCTTGCTCCTCCCAGCTTGCCTGGGACAGGTCGATCTGGCCCTCTTCCTCCCCCTCCAAATGAGCGGCCTCCTCCTCCAGTAAGAGATCCACCTAGCAGATCAGGTATGGCAGTGTGCATTTTTTCTGCTCTCCAGACCACCCTTGTAATGACTAAACTAATTGTTATCCACATGGTTTCAGTGAAGTAGCTGAATTTACCTCCAACACCAATTTCCTTCATGCTTTTCAGAGTGTAATATGAGCTGTAGCTTTAAATCGATTGACATGCTTTGCTGTTTGTTTGCCATATAAATTGAAGCTATAGACCAAAATGGCAATCAGTTTTAAAAACTGAAGTCCTCCTTTCACTGAAAAAGTGTAACTGACTGGTTTAATCAGTTACATCTTTAAAAATCACTATTCAGACTTGAATTAACTACCATGACCTGAGTTTGATTTGCAAGTTATTTTTGCAGGCACATGGGTCATGTACTTGCTATTTCATGTAATACTACCTTTCTTCAGTTGGGCTGATTACAAGCACCATTCCACTCAAGTCCTTTTTAGTAGTAGTAATTATGCTGTAGTATTTACACATTCATTATTACTATCATAGTTAATAGCAACTACAAACAGTATGTTTGATGATTATATTTTTTGGTGCAACAAACTTGTTTTATCTGTGGGTCCAATTAGATGAGTAATCTTTACCCCCCGGGAGTAGTACAGTTTGTCAGTGGCAATGTTCACAAGTAAAGGTTTGCAGAAACAGGCTCTCTGCATGTTAAACATCATGTACACTTATGGTGGTATTTACGTTATTTTAATAGATGTTACAACAGTAGTTATCATAACAAGTGTCATTATATTTGAGTCAACTTTGTCACTTATCATATGCAGATTTCTAACAAAAATAATATTGTTTCCATGGTGATATTTCATAATATACTTTGCCCTGTGCCTTTTATTACTAATGTTCAAGAACATAGATTATACCCTTATTGTTAATAACAATCTTCTTGATGATATAGTAAATAGAAGGGGACCTTGTGTTTGCTTCTTAATCCATATCCTTCCAATATTTACATTGTTTTTAGTTGGAATAATTTCTCTCATTATCTTAAAGTTACTAAAATGAATTAACCTTCACAGGTGGAGCACCATTGCAGGATTGCAAGCTGTAGTAGCATGTAAATGTAAACCACAAAGTACATAGGATTTCTTGTGACACGTTGCTTTTGGATAGTGGCACAATATCTGCTGATCTATTTTTAATAGATGTATCTGTAATACATCTTTAATAGATGTAATTAGATTTCTTTGAGCTGAGGGAATACTTGTAATAAAAAAATGACTTAGGAGAGTTTTATTGTGTTGATTAATTGCCCCACATTATGTGCGATATCTTTCATGCTGGCTCTAGGCATGTTACCGCTACAGTTGTTCAAATATACTGACATTGGAAACGTTAAAATCTGTGTCTGAGGTCTGTTTCTAATTCAGAGACAGATTGATGTACTGCAACCACAGCAGAGCCTGGCATGCAGCAAGTATTTGTGTAAGAGAGAGAACTGATCCCACACTGTTTAACATTGCCATTATTGAGCTGAATTCTCCTTTACACTATGCCACTGGCAGAATCTGGTCCTAACACCCAGCGTGGATGGAAAAGGGAGTGAAGAGTGAAGTGCCAAAGTCTGCTGACAATACAAAATTATTCAGGATAGTTCAGTCCAAAGCTGACTGTGAAGAGTTACAAAGGGATCTCACAAAACTGGGTGACTGAGCAACAAAGGGGCAGATGAAACCCAACATTGATAAGTGCAAAGTAATGCACATTGGAAAAAATAATCTCAACTATACATATATAATGATGGATTCTAAATTGGCTGTTCCCACCCAAGAAAGAGATTTTGGAGGCCCCTAGATTGATCTATGGAAACTTCTGCTCAGCAGTCGAAAAGGCTAACAGAGTGATAGGAACTATTAGGAAGGAGATAGAAAATATGACCGAAAAATATCATAATGCTACTATATAAATCCATGGTGCGCCCACACCTTCAATACAGTGTCCTGTTCTGGTTGCCCTATCTCAAAAAGGATATAGTAGAACTAGAAAAGGTTCAGGGAAAGGCAACAAAAATGATCAGGGGTATGGAATGGCTTCCATATGAGGAGAGACTTAAAAGACTAGGGCTGTTCAGCTTAGAAAATGAATGACTAAGGGGAGATATGATAGAGGTTTATAAAATCATGAATGGTGTAGAAAAAAGTGAATAGAGAAGTGTGTTTTACCCGTTCCCACAATACAAATATCAGGCATCACCCGACTGAAATTAATAGTCCATTGGTTTAACAGAAATAAGAGGAAGTACTTTTCACATAATGCATAATTAACCTGTGGAACTCATTACCATGGGATGTTTTGATGACCAAACGTATAACTGGATTCGAAAAAGAATTAGATAAGTTTATGGAGGATAAGTCCATCAATGGCTATTAACCAAGATGATCAGGGTGACCCTAAACCTCTGACTGTCAGAAGTGGAAGCCAGGGGTGGTTCACTCCAAAATTGTCCCGTTCTGTACACTCTCCCTGAAGCTGTGGTACTGGCCACAGTTGGAGGCAGGATCCTGGGCTAGATGAGCCATTGGTCTGACTCAGTATAGCCGCTCTTATGTTCTCTTGGTTCAGAGAGCTCTTACACCACTTCCCATCCCGTTACCTTAAAAGAGGGTGTGGCTGAAGGAAATGGGATATGGCCTGGACCCTCTGTGCTGCCCTGATGCTCCATTGTGGTTTCAGCCCTTTGTGACCATTTGTAGCCAGCATAAGTTAATGCAGCCCTAAAGCTGCTTTAACAACGTGGAACGAAGAGACCAGCCCTGCACAGACGCTATATGAGGCAAAGGGAGTGGAAAGGTGACATTTAAGCCTCCTTTCTGTGTAAACATTCCCCTTGAACCTGCACTCTGTGCAGATCAGCCACACCCAGAGGAGGGTGGATCAGGAAAGAGATGTCAAACACTACATTACTGCAATCCCTCCCTCAGGCTGAAGGAGGCAGACAACCCTCCCCATTGCTTTTGGAGCCCATCAAAGCCAGTGTCCTATCTGACACCCTTCAGAGCGATGCAAGACGACAATGCTTAGAGCTGATAGAATAACAGTAGGTTTTATGGTACAATAGATTATTGATTTGTGTCTCTGTCTTGATTCAGGACCCCTTCCACCTCCTCCCCCTGTAAACAGAAATGGCAGCATTTCACGGGCATTGCCTGCTACTCCACAGCTGCCTTCCAGGGCAGGATTAGAAAACCAGAGAGGTGGACCAAGGCCTCCACTTCCTCCTGACAGACCTGGTTCCGGAGCTCCTCCTCCACCACCACCTCCTGCACAATCATCGGCAATCAGAAATGGCTTCCAGGACTCGTCATGTGAAGGTGAACTGTGTTCTCAGACATACTCAACATATCACTCTCTCATCACTCAGAAGCTTTGCCTAAGTAAAGCTATCAGCATTTGACACCCCTCCCCCCCCCAATGTTAAATGAGATACTTCACTGATGCTTGAAGTCTGATTCTGAGCTCTCACCAGTTTTACACTGGAGTTATTCCTGACTGACCCAGGTGTAACTTGGGTCTAAAAAGGCCTGCCATATGGAGTTATCTGAATATTTTAATGTGGAAAACAGAAGTGCAAAGTTAACAGTACGACTGACATGAACATACTAGCATGCCAGTGGGACTTCAGCAAGCACTGGACCTCAGAAATAACCATTCAAAAGTAACCTAAAAAGAGGAAACGTGTGTACCATTCTTTACTTCTTTTTGCTGTATAAAGAAAGCCTGAAGGATTTTTTTTCCATGTTAAAAATTCAGGTCTCCTCTGCCCTGAAACCCTTTGGACAACTGAAGTAGTGGGATTACGACATCACAGGAGACAAAGTAAAAGCTGAGCAGTAGAGAAGAAAAGGGATCTTTAGTCAAACTGTTTAAAACTTTTTGGGTTTTTCCATTTTGGCTACTAAACAGTGGGGATAAAGGATATGTGCATTAAAGATGAATCAGTCCTTTCCTTTCAATTCAGGCATGAGCTCACAATATTCATTTGCATCTCCCAACAAAATCAGGAAAGACCAGACTTGACATTCCTGATATTTCTAAGCTAAAAAGCAAGCAGAAAATAAGACTATAAAATAATCCTTCTGAGCTTTCTTGATGCAGCATAAGAGGCAAAACTGGATGCAACCAGTTTTTTCTGTGCAAATCATCTTTAGGGGTCAGAACCTACATAGTTCCTACACAAGCAGAACTCTAATTGAAATCCAGGTGAGTCTTGCTTGCCTCAGGAATGTAAATCTGGGCCCCAAAATAATCAATCCTGTGGTCAATTGTTGGTAAAGTTCACTCAGGTCGTAGCTGGATGACCTCATACAAAAACCTACATTACAAGAGTGTTACGGTTGCAAAGTGCTGGAAATGATAAAAAACAAAGTTGCCTGTGTGCCCTTATTCTGCCCCTTGAGCATCTGCATTCAGATACAGGACAGTGTAATCTGAGCACAGGCTATTTATTTTTTCCAGGATTTTGACTTACTACTAATATGTCATTGGAATCCGACCCCTCTTTTATTGTACAGGGAAATGTGCGTCTCTAGCAGTTGAAGAAATACTGATACCTTTAGCTTTATCTTCACACTTTTTACAAAAGTTGCACATTTCTCCTTGATTATGCATTTTCTCACAGTGCTGCTAATTTTTCTTTTTTCTTTGAAGATTGAATTTTATTGGATGCTATAGTGGTTCTAGTTGTTTGGATACTTTGTACATCGATGAGGTCTAAATACTGTAATACAAATTCAGCACCCTGAATCCTACTACACATTTCTATAGTAGGAGAGAAGATTAATTTAATATAGAATATGTAGGGCCAAATTTATTATATGCATAAGTGGGTGCAATATTGATGTCACCAGCAGGTAATCTAGAATCAGGAAACCACCTAGAGTGAGATCTCCCACCAACTCCAGGCCCTTTACGCTGCGTACAAGGGCCGGAGTAATGTAAAGAGACTCTCTAAAAGCTTCATAGCTGACTATGGGAGGATCCCCCCAGCACAGGCACTGTGAAAAGACAGTCATAAGGCTGCCCTCCAAGGACTACCCCTTACAAGCCATAGCATAGGGGCCATGCCCGGGTGGGGCAAAGGGCAGACGGGGCCCCAGCACACAGCACTGCAGAGATTCAAGGCAGCGCTGTGGCCTGTAAGGTAGCCCAGGGAAACTACCATAACTTAGCTTAGGCAGCTCTTGGAGGCCCATCTATGCCAAGGCTTGAAGCCACCATCCCCTTGGGCATCGAATCTCAACCTGAAGGCTAAGTTCTTCTGCACAGACGGGAAGGTGGGTGGAAGACACTGAGTCTTCATATAACATTCTGAGTCGCACTATTAGGACTCTTGTGGATTTCAATGGACTCCTGTTTGGATTATGTTTCTTAGTTTGTTTTTTATGGAGCATTGTAAACAATAAGACAAGGCAGGTGCAATGACGTAAATGATCAATGAATGATAAAGTGAATTCAGGCTAATTTGGGCCATCTTTTTGTTCTGTGTTTGTACAGCATCTAGCACAGTAGGGTTCTGATCTATGACTTGGCTTCTAGGAGGTACTGCAAAACAGAATGTGTAATAATATCAATACTACACAACTCTTCTATTAAGAATTGTTACTTTTAAAATTTTCCTGTAACTGTTTATTTCTCTCCAGATGAGTGGGAAAGCAGATTTTCCTTCCATCCGATATCTGACCTACCACCTCCAGAGCCATATGTACCAATGAACAAAAGTTACCCCAGTAAACTAGCAAGGAATGAAAGCAGAGGTATGTTTTGGTTTTGTTTTTGTTTTGCCAAATATTGTTAATTTTGAAAGATAATAGTCAGGCCTTCAGATGGCCTAGTGATGGATGTGGTGAAAGAACCTATACAGAGTAGTGGGGGATAAAAATATTTATAACTGGGAACAATTTGCATCTCTATTTATCTGCTTTCCCTTAGTAGACTGAGTTTACTAATTTCTCTGCTAATTACCATTACCCCTTTTCTATTCGCTATAGGCTGCACACACCGTCCAACCTAAAAACTCATAATTCTGCCTTCAGACATGCAAACACAACTCCCATTGGGATTGTAAAGGTGTTGGAGGGCAGAATAGGGCCTAATAGATCTACCAATATTTTTGTTGTTGTTGGCTTGAAGAAATTTAATGGTTGAGTTCTCATGTATACAAATATTGTAGGTGTTCCCTGTGCAAGTCCCTCTTCTGTTGTTGAGAATAGACTCTATAGACACACAAATATGTAAAATCTCTTTGGGTAAAAATGGGAGAAACCAACATCCTCTTAATAAGTTAAGGTTTATAAGTCTAAGGGCCTGATCTCGCACCCTATCCATGCAGGAAACACTGAAAGATTGTTTGCAGGATCAAGTCCTATTAAACTTGCTAGTTTTTTTTAAGTGGGGGGAGGGCCTGGGAACTGTATACCCTTCTCAAATTTAATTTGCCTAGTTTTTGGATGAAAATTTTTCTTGTGGAGAAATGGTGCTGTGAGATTTTATCACACTTAAACTGTAGAACTTCAGTGTTTTTTTTATTACAATTTGCATTTGTTTTAAAGTCACAGTGAGACTTAATGCCCTTGTAGAACTGATAACTCTTATTAACGCTAACAAGAGTTGTAGATGTGTCCTCAAGAGGCAGAAAGAGCCGAAAGGCAGAAAAAACACATGCTTTTTGGCATTTGGGGCATTAAATAGTTGCTTAATAGGAACTATTCTGTACATCATTTATATTTCTTATCTTGGTAAATAAATCATCCAATAAACTACACAAAACTGCTCATAAAATGGATCATACGGGTACTTAAAATGCGTAGTTCTTCACAAATCGTTTCATGAGGAGCTTGGGCACGCTCTTCTGTGTGAAAGAAATAGATCCTGATGAACACAGCCATCTCTTTCTTTCATTTCTAGATGGCTCTGGCCGAAGGGAAAGAGGTGTCCCACCGCTCCCACCTATACCGAGGTGAAGTGGATTTCCAGCCCTTCTCAGGGTGACTGCTGTTTTTAAATTTCTCTTGAATTACTTCTCACGCCCATGTCATTGGAAAGTTGCCTCTTCTGCTTTATTTCCACTTTTGGCTTGTGATTAGGGGTAATTTGAGTATCTATTAGAGAAGTAAGGTACAATTTATGTACCATAGTTGCTTAAAACTATAGATTTTACTTGCTTATATAGCAGGCTGTCATGAAAGGCATTTCGGGGACCATATAGAACAATATACATATTCTTACTGGGTCCCATCCTGTTCCCAGTGATCTTGGTGGGAGTTTTGCCATTGAATTCAACAAGAGCAGGCACAAGCCCACTAACTAGTTTTGGGTGAAGTAGTTGTAACATTTGAACTACAAAGTCCAATAATTTACTGCTGTCTGCCTGGAAATTAATCACGTGGGGACAGCACACAGATGAGATTCCCTTGGATCTTTTTTTTGCACGCTTCAACGCCCTATCCTGCTTCTGCATGCTACTGCTCAACTTTATGTGAGTCTGCAAGTTAACAATTCAACCCAAATTCTTTTGACCATAGTTTAGCCTGTCAGAAGCATGTGTTTATGCTACAGATTGCACACCCTTCCCCTGAGTGTGACAACTAAATGGCATCGTTTTCTGACACCCCACCAGCACTGGGCTCCAGCAGAGGCTATCTCCAGCCTTCATTCTTGAGGGGAAACATTGCCATGACATGAAGGAGAATTCTCAAAAGAAAAGAGAAAATTGAGAATTCAGCAGAGTATGGCTGGTATGGCCCTGAATGGCCCTAATGCCTTGTTTTGTAATAGCCTTATGCTGTTAATCTCTACTGATCCTTTCCATTTGGATGTGGATCATGCCCTCAAAATTGGATTACTGTAATGCTCTTTATGTCGGGCTACACCTGAAGACTACTCAAACTACGGCTAGATCAAAATGCAGCCTCCCCCTTAATTATATGCTCCTTCTGTGAAACCTGCTAACACCTGTGCTCCACAGATTGCATTGGCTTCCCATTTGTTTCTGGGTATAATTCATTAGTCAAAAACATCTTGAAGCTCTGTGTGGTTTGGCTGCTTGAGAAAGTGCTTCTCCCTTGTGTTGCATGACAATTAAGATCAACTGAGTGCTTGAATGAACGGCCCTCACATTTAAACAGGAGGGATCTGGTGGAAGGGCATTTTCTAGTGAAAGCCATAAACTCTAGAACTTGCTGTCCATGCTGGTTCAACAGGGGTGCAGTGTATTGACCTTCTGAGCTTGCTCCATGGCCTGCCTGAGTCCAAACTTTTGTTTCAGAGGGTACCAGGAGGGATCTGAAGGAAATTCCCTTATTAGGAGAAAGCAAACTTTTTTTAGGCATTGTGGTGATTGGTGAAATTGCAGATCTGCTTTTAAATATTGTACATGAGCAAAGAATGTTTGTTTAGTGCATTTTATAAACTGATGTAAACAAATGGAAAAAGACATTGGAAATCATAGGAAGACTTTGATTCTGGATTTGAACGTGTCTGAATGTATCTTTGTCAGCTGGACTTCTGAAAGTTAGCTTTGAAGAATGACTTTCCGTCACCTCCCCACCAATCTCTGACTCTCTCAATGTGCTCACTGGAGTCCACAGGAAGTCCTCACTGGTGGACATGTTTCATACTGTGTTGCTCATTAAATCAAAGGAAGAAGCCATGCAGGTTAGAAATATATTGGGCAAAATGCCGACACCTCCCCCCCGCAACCCCCCAGCAGTGGAAAACCTGATTCCTCATTCAGTTCTGCGGGTTTTGTTACAGTATGATACTTTTGAGCCCAGCGCTTGAACATCTGAGGGGGGTTGGCAGAAGAGACTCTTCAAAATGAACATTGAACCCTAGGGAAATGGTGTGCAGTGGGACCGTCTCCATTATGTGACTATGTAGTGGCAGATCCCACGCGGCCTTACAATCTGTGTAATCCCATTGACGACAGGGTACGATTTGAACCTGATGAATACAGCTTTGCCTTTCTGGTATGTTTGTTTACAAAGTCATGTTTGGATATTTTTACCTATGATAGTATTTGATAAGACATATTTTTACATTTTGATATCTCTGGGCCTGATTCTGAGATGCGTTCCACGGACCTGATCCTACATCGAAATACACACACACACACACACACACACACACACACACACACACAGGATCAGAGCCATGTGAGCTTCTTGCACAGATTTCAGAAGAAGCTCCACCTGTGACATGTATCTTTGGATCAAGCCCGTGTGATCTGTAAATGTACTAACATCACTTGTAAGCATGGCACTTAAACATTCAAGCTATGAATATTGAAAGTCTGTATGTGGCCCACTATTGTGTGAATCTAAAGTCCAAAAAAGATTTAAAACACCTAGTGATATTTATAGGATAAATTATTGTATTGATGCTGTTAAACCAAAGCACTTATGGCTTTCTGAGGAATGACATCATGGACTTGAGAATACAATATTTTAATGCATCACCCTGCCAAAGTCTTAATAAAATATGAATAGTTATGCAGTGTAACAACTAAGAGCAACTCCAGAAGTTATACATTTCTTTGTAACTTATCTGCATATAGCAAGACACTTTTACTTTGGCTGTGTCAATGAAAATACTGTATTTCATTCCTGTAGCTGACTGCACCATCCAAAATACTCTATAATTCACTTCATGAGCAGAATTTCTCTACAATCATAACCAAAGCCATAACAAATTAGCGTAAATCTAATTTTAAACTGTGATGTGGGCTTCAGTGAGGGAAGCAAAGAAATCTAATCTGTTTGAAACTGTCTGATTCTTAGCACTTTCTTTACGAGTAGAAATTTTTTCAATATATATACGCTAAGCATCCATAAAACACCTTTGAGAAATGATAGTAGTAATAAATGTATATCTTTTGATTGTAAAATTCACCAAATATATTCAAAAAACAGTGCATCATTTTAACATTCAGTATATCATTTTGTATACAAGTAGATATTTACAATAAGATCAGTATTACAATATTTATTTCACTATGCATAGTGTTTAAAAAAGATAAGCATGAAACAAAACTGGTTAATCCAACAGTGCCTTACTATGTTTTAACAAACTTTTGATGTCAAAATAGCAATTGCTGCCTTTTTATAAAAATTTTAGATGTTATGCTTTGATGTCTAATGTAAAATACAAAACAGTGCTTATAGTGTGATAATACAATGTCTGAGCTAAGTGTTTGCATTTGTAACATGCTTGATCCACTAATTTCAAAGGGAGTAGTATGTTTGAAAAGACTGCTGGGTCAGGCCTTTAATTGGGGTATGTATGGAAGTTTGCTTAATTCCAAATCAATTTCTGGTGTTAATGCATTTGGAAATTAAGCACATTTACCCCACATGTTTACAGTCATTGGACCAATGTATCTCTTCTGTTATACCTGTACGATCCAATTAACTTCAGTGGGGCTGTGCAAGTGTATTAGAGGACCACTGACTGACTGTATTTAGGATTTAGTATGTTTATTTTGATTGCATGGTATTTTAAACATGCAGTCCTTAAACCATCTGTATGTCATCACCTGAGACTCAAATTGTGACAAAGATGACCACTGAAACTCATTTCTATGCAAATCAAGCAGATAAATAAAATCAGAGCTTTCTGTGTGAGATGGCCATTTTTATTTATATTTTCTATTCAGTATTTTTGGATGAAAAGCACATGCTATATATCTGTTGGAGTGACTTTCTTGATGCTTTGTGACTTTATTCTAGCCACTCTGTTTAGGTATAAGAATTGTTACAGGAAACTAAATAGGTAATGCAGGAATCAGGAATTTTTGGAAATGAACTGAATAGCCTTGCATTAACTTTCTTTGGAAACCGTGATTCCCAGCACCAAAAGGTTCAGAAGAACAGCATCTTCTGGGATGGAACTACAAGATGCATTTCTTACGGTTTAAAAAATTAGACAGTAGCTTCTACTCACAGAAATAACTGTTTTACGTGTCTGTGGTGCAGTTTGCATTCTATTTATGAGGAAGGTGTAGGGAACTAATTTCCACTTGGGTTTGGGTGTCTTAGTACTATAATAATTTTGCTATGCAAAAAAATGCAATTAGAAACTACACTTTCCTCCTTTTAGAGTCAAGAATTCTGAGTCTTATGAGCAAACTTTTAATTTTAATTCAAACAAAATATTATGTAATGAGAAACCTTGACATAGTCATTATGGCAACAGAATCTTAAAAAGAGGAAGGAAGAATTTGTGTGCATCGGATTACATAAAAGATGGAGTGAACATTGATATAACAGTTCAAAACAAGACCTATATGTGCTTTCTCAGTGTCATATTGTAGTATTGTGAATGTTGATGTCTTACTGTCCAGTAGGAACAAAATCTACTCTGGCATTACATTGGGTGTATAGTTTTCCAAACTCTACTCAACAAGGAAATAATGAGAATACCTTGCATGAAATATTCATTAAAAGAAAAACTGCTAAAAGAAACTGCAGCAAGGAAAATGTCTCTTCAAGTGAAAAGAGAGGAGGTGAGGAAGCCCTTTAGGCTCCAAAGCGTCTAAAGTGAAATCTTCTGGGCTGTTTAATTAGTGTCTGGACCTGCACCATTGATGACAAAGGGGAGGTTTTGCAGGTGTTCAATGAGACTAGCTCAGGCTTATATAAGTTTTTAGTTCCCAAGTGTGTGCAATGGCTATGCAAGTCAAAGAGGAGGAAATGAAGACTGTGTGTCCAGAGAAAAGGAATAATGAACCTAATCAAGTATGTTTGAAATACAATTTAACTTGGTGCAATGAGGACAGGCCTCTAATGTAAGGTAATATAAAATGTGCTAAAGGCAACACTTAGCATCTGGACTTGCGAAACCACACAAGACTGTAACAGAGGAAGGAATAGAGCTCAAAATGGTTCCTGAAGAACAAATAAAGCATTTCTCTGAAAGAAATGTGTCAAGTCCAGCTGACAGCCAGCTGTGCTGAGAGGAGATTCTGGTAACTTATGTGAAGTCTTTGGGAAGCGCAACCAAAACTATCCAGAGCTGAACTTGGAGCTAAGCTCTCTGGGCTTTTCATAAAATGTTAGTCATCAAGCAGAAGAAAAATAACATTTATTTTGTTTGTGATTCTTTTTCTCTATTTTCTGCCCTATGTTAAATAAATTTTTGCTTTTATTTAAGATAATGAATTGATTGTGGAGACTTGCATTAATTTAGGAACAAACATGATCAGGTCCTTCAGGAGAGAGGAAACTGACTACTGGCCTTAAAGGGAAGCAGAAGTGTAATAATGAACCTGGGCACTTGCTCAAGACTTGCAAAATTTCTTCCCAAATTGGTATATACCACTTCCTTGCAGCACAGTGTGGGACTGAAAGGATGTCAAGCTTGGTTACAATGATTTTTATATACACTAATGTAATACTTAAATTAGCCTGTTAATTTTGGTTAATGAATGTTACAAATTTACATTGTATCTTATGATACTATACTTATAGGTAGGTATTATTTTAGGGCCAGATCCTACAGTCATAGCTGAATAAAGACTTCAGGATTTGGTTCTAAGCAAGACACAACAAAAATTTAAGGTAAGGTGTAATGCCAAACAAAAATGTATACGCGAGGAAAGTCTTATGCACCAAATGTCTCCACTAAACAGGGAGAAGCAAATATTTTGCCTTTTGGAATGCAAAATATCAGACACTTCCACATTTCCCCAAAGAAGGGGGTCCTTTCACTCGTCACAGTTCTGCTCTCACTCCTGCTTTTTAGACTTTTCCTATACTTTAGTCCAGTTGGAGCCAGTATATAGGGTTAGAACCCCCTAGTCACTGTCTGAAAATACAAGCTGAGCTTAAAGTCATGTTCTCCCTTCAACCTCTCCTCAGAAGTAGAAGGATTATTTAACCCTCATTAGGATAGTTCACAGCAATAACCCTAAAGCAGCCAATAAGTAGAACCACAAAAATTGGCAGGTGTCTGACTGTTTGAAACTAATTTTAACCCTGTTCTTAAAGTGACTGGATTTCAAGTTAATGGTGTCCCCTTATCACAGATTATTATTTGTATTCCAGTAGTCCCTAGAGCTCCCAACTGAAAATGGAGCCCCATTGTGCTAAGCAGCGAACACCTAGTGCGAGAGAGCCCTGACCCCAAGAGCTTGCACTATAAGAAGGGAGAAGGAGAGGAAATAACATTGACAATGATGATGTCTGTGACAAATCTTCTTTGGATGATCAGATCCTTTTGTGAAAGAAGTCCATATAGTACTGCATCTCAATTTACCATCATAAAAATGCAATGGGCTCACGTATTATTCTTTCACAGCTGGTGAAATTGATGTAATCAGTATAATGGTGCATTCTGAGATGGCTAAACTGTTAAACTCAGGGTACATGCAGGGAATTATAATTATAATATAGTCTTTAAAAACACCCATTTTGGTGATGGGCAGTTCTCTGGTTTTTTTTATTCGCAATTAGTTAAGTGTTGTGTAAGTTAAGCTTCTATAGAAAATCAGGCATAGAATAGTCTTGGAAAGGAAGCCACAAAAGATAACTTTGTAAATGTTTAAAATACAGAGGGTAAATTTCATTGCATTCCCATAGGAAGCTGCTGCTAATGCTCTCCTTGACTTGTATACCTTCAACAATATCTGGGTGCTAGATCAAAATCTTTGCACCTATTTACCAAGGAACTGAGATGAAACAAAATTGCAGTTCTTGTTTATATAAGGAAATAGTTCCAGACTAAAGGACATGCTGTTAAACCCCTCCTTGGAAACTTGGAATACTTGAAGGGATTATGATTTCAAAACGGAAATCAAGTGAATAATATAAATAAAATCTTAAAAAGGAAGATTGGCTAGAAGTAGAGGAGCTGGGGCCTTGTGTTCCTTAAACTACACTGTCATTGAAAGAAGCTAATTAAGATCAGATGAGTTCATGTTAATATTACAGCTCACATCCATGATGCTCACAGTCTTGTTGACTCTCATACTTTTCAACTGTAAAGTCCTTGGGTAAAAGTTTTAAATGAGAGGCCAGAAAACTAGGTCAGCAACTGTTTTCTTTATTCAGCTGCAACCAAGCATCTGCCTGCCAGCTCCTAAACTTCTTAGTCAGTGAGATGGGGCTAAAACTAACACAGTCACTCCTAGTAATGCTTTTCTCCCAGTACATGATTATTTACCTTCTGCCAGACCACATGGATAGTCATGACATTTGCACCGTGTCTCTGACAGTAAGGAAGTCAAATCTTCAACTTCTAATGCAGTTTATCGGGGGGGGGGGATAGCTCAGTGGTTTGAGCATTGGCCTGCTAAACCCAGGGTTGTGACTTCAATCCTTGAGGGGGCCACTTAGGGATCTGGGGCAAAATCAGTACTTGGTCCTGCTAGTGAAGGCAGGGGGCTGGATTCGATGACCTTTCAAGGTCCCTTCCAGTTCTAGGAGATAGGATATCTCCATTAATTTATTTATTTATTTAATTTATTTATTCAGTGGATTTGGAGCCTAGAAGAAGCTTCCTCACAAATTTTGAGACGCAAGCCTTCAGGAATGAGGTGTGGCTGTAACCTGACTGGCTGTGAGCATAAAAAGGACAAGAAGAGGAAGCCCTAATGTGAGAACCAGTGAAAGGTTGTAATAATGGTAACCATTATTATTTGTATTCCAGTAGCACCTAGAGGCCCCAGCTGAGAGATGGGGTCCATTGTGCGATGCAATGAACTAAAACATGGTCTCTTTCCAAAGGAGGATAATGTAAAGAGAGAAGACAAAGGGTGGGAGAATGACTGATTATTTTTTCAAGTGCTTCTGCAGAAGCCAACTTAACAATAAAGAATAGTAAATATTGCCTGTAATCACAGTATGTGGTGGATTGTCTAAATGATGTATACAGTGTAAGATAACATGAGTGAGTTCTACAGAACTCAGCCTGCTGGGCCCTTATATTGTTTTGGTTTTTTCATTGCCTCTTTTTTTTTTTTTTTTTTTTTTTTAACCACTTAATTTCCTTTAAATGCCCCTCTCTATCTTTACATCATTCATTTTTTTTCTTCCTCAGCTGAAACAAGTAACATTTTTATTTCAGAAGTGCTGATACTAGTTCCTGTGAGTGCCTTCCTCATTTTGAATCTTAAACTATTTCTCGTTATTTTTCCCTGTTTTAGTTATTGCTGTTAGCACTCATAATGTGCACTTCGAAAAGAAGGCATCATCCCTGCCCAAGTAGCTTGTAATCTAAAGAAAAACAAATTATATTTTAAGTAGGGCATCGCTTTTCAGGGCTAATCTGTGCTCAGAAATAGGAACGTCTGGTATTTGATGGCAGTAGTTTTTACGAAAGAACGTTTTAAGCTTTTGGGACTCAGTTTTCAAAACCCGCCTCTAATAATACAAGTGCAACTCGGTCAATCTATGTTTTGTGTGTGAAATTAGTCAAATCAAGTGTGTGTGCACAGAAACATTCAAATTTGTGTGCAAAACATACCAGCACATACACACCCATCAGGTAATTAGGTATCCATCAAGCTGATTTTCTTATGGAAATCTAAGTTTTTGTATGCATATAAATTTGGACATGAATGGAGGGTCTTAACTCATTCTGATTTGAAAATGTGAGACTTTATACATACATAGCACTGTGCAAATAAGTTCCTCCCCTCCCCCCCTCCCCCCCCCCCTGTTTTCACCAATATTTTGCCATTTATTGCAGAGGGCAGATTTTGATAAACAAAAACAGTTACCATTAATCTGACCAACATGATGCATTCTTGTACTTTCTAATGTGTTGCAGTTTTTCTCTTTGGACGGTAGAGGGCCAATGGCATCACATGCAATTAATGTATGTAAGTCATTTCCTAAGAAGGGAAGAATGTGTGGATGAGGAAGAGGTAGCTGAAGCGTTCAGACTATGACAAGAGCTCTGTAAAAGGAAGTGGTTCTGCATGTAAGATACAGCAGCTGTGAAAGCAGTGCACACACTGGGACTAGTGTCTAGCAGTTGTCAAAGGGTTGTGGAAAGTAGGGTTACCATATGTGGAGTGTCCCAAAAGAGGACACTCCACGGGGCCCCGCCCCCGCCCCGCCCACGCCCAAACTCCGCCCCCTCCCCCAAAGTCCCCGCCCCAACTCCGTCCCCTCCCCTGCTTCCCGCGAACATTTGATTCGCGGGAAGCAGGCAGCAGGTAAGGGGGGGGGAGGGAAGGGAAGGGAAGGGAGGCGAGGCAGCGCGGCGCGGGCCAGCCCCCGACCGAGCACCCCCCGGCCGCCCAGCTCCACCGGCCCCGGCCCAGCGCGCCCCCCGGCCGCCCAGCACCGCCGGCGGCCCGGTGCACCCCCCCCCGCGGCCTCCCAGCACCGCCGGCGGCC